GGAGCTTTCATAATAGATCCACCAGTCTATCACTAGCAACCAAAGAATAGTAAACCACAACACAGGACTGACAGAGAGCAGTTCTAGATATACAGAACTGTTTCCTCCCATGGATTGAGCTGCTTTCTTTGTAAGCATGACAGAAGTGAGTGTGCCAACAGTAGTGAATTGTTCTTAGAATTAAATATCTGTGTATGTTTTAAAATTTTTTTTGAATTCTGAATTATTTAGCTTTAACTATGATCAAAATATCTCCTTGTTAAAATAAGATCTTACTTTCAGGGAAGGACAAATGAAATTTATGATAAATTGCTTATATGATGTTAACAGAAAACTGGAAATATGTATGTGGAATTGGGATAATGCAACAAAATGGTAAAATCAGTTTATATACAAGAAGATATATTATTTTCCAGCTAAAAAAGAGTGGTCAGAATTAAGAGCAAAACTTATACAGTTGTCATTAACCAAAAAAAAGTTTGAAAAATCTAAATGTGAAAGCAATAGTGACAGTGTTACCCAGATTATTTTATTACTAAAAAAAAAAAGTAATGACAGTCTCTTTGAGTGAGTCCAGTTGATTTAATTTCCAGTTGGGAAGGAACATATTTTGCTGGTAGTTTAAATTAATATATATGTGTGTATAAGATAATGTAAATTAGTCTTCTAAAAATTGGTTTAAATGGATTACTTCTGGAAAATAAATTGTTAAATAAAACCAGTGGAGAAGGTAACAGTAAATTTGAAAACCCAAACAACCTCCTTTCTCTTCATCATACTTTAAAGGCTTTTTCCAGTCTTAAGAACATATGGCTTATCAGTCTTATAAGATTTCCACTGGGAAGGGGGTTAGGAGCATTTACTAGAAGTGGAAGAACAGGCATGATAAATTTAACAAAGGCCAAAAACATTCTTGTGACATCAAGCTTAGAGAGATGACAACTTCTAAAGAAGAATGGAACTCTTTAAACTTGGATCAACAGAATCATACTGTTTGTCCAGTGCCAAAGCAGTATAGTGTCAATAATTTGAAAAAAAAATAGTCTTATTGCACGTATTGTAAAGTGTCCCTTAGCTGAAATATTTTGTAAGCTGTGGATGCAGTGTGCTGATAACCTGTTTTTAAACCTTCTTTTACAGTAATTTTTTTGCATATCCTTTTTTTTTCAGTTTTGGCATGGTACAAGGTTATACACAAGACCTAATTAAAATCCATTCCAGGTTAAGCTATTAATAGGGGGGCTCCCTCAGCCCCCCCTCCTGTCAGGGAGTTGCAGAGCCAGAAGGTCCCCCCCGAGCCTCCTTTTCTCCAGGCTGAAAAAATATGAAAATAATATGAATATATGAAAATATGAAAATATATGGTTCTTCTTTATTAAAAAAGTGTTGATTGACTCAAAACTTGACCTTTTAGGATTTTTTTTACATACCAGTCATTAGCACTTAATTAGCTTCATTTCCTAAGGAAATTAGGCTTTTGAGCAGCTGTCTCTGCATGTGTTTGTGTTTTTGTTTGCATAACTTGTAGTGAAGTCTTGTGGAATGTTACTGTTTTTCCTGCTTACAGTAATTATATATTACTGTATAAAGAGTTTGCAGATTAATAATCTTTGATTCACGGAGACAATTTAGCATTCATTGTTGTTGTTTTTAGGCCAATACGGTCCTGTCTCAGAGACCCTTTGACATTTTTATGGTTCTGATTATCAAATTTTATTGCTCTTCTAGAGCTGTTGTTCTCTGAAATCTCTCATAGGCAACAGAAACCCACCACCTAATATAGGGAAATGGTCAAGAAAGCAAGCCTTCTGAGACTTACTGGCAGAGCTTTAAACTAGATTAATCAGGGGAAAGGATGTGCTTCTGAGTGTCAGAGAGGAGCCAGGAAACACCAACATTTTAGGAATCAGCAGGGAAACACCTGTAAATTATCCCAAAGGAATTAGGAGAGATCCTCCCAAAGGGTAAAGAGGCCATTCTATGATTCTATGAGTGGTATATCAGGGGCTGCGATTTTCACCATCTTATTACCTAAAACCAAAAGGATGAAAACGCAGAATGAATAAGCTCTGACTTATGTGCACACTGGTGATTCTTTCATTTTTCCTTTGTCACTTATAATGCTTTGTAAAATGTCTGTACTGTTTTTCAGAAGATACTTTTACTACATAAAATTTTGGGTTTATGTTTATTATATTTGCTCTATATCACTAAATTGGCATATTCCTGCATGTCAACATTTCTGTTATTATTCTTTTGATTTTGGTATCTACTGAACGTTGTTCTGTGGAAAAATTTAAAATTCTATTTTTAGAAAGAAAAACAAAATTAACAATGACAGAGATGCTCTTCATGTAGCTACACTAGATGCAACTTTACCACCAGGGCAGACTCCCAATACTTACATTTAGTCCCTAGTTTTGGCATTACTGTACATCAAAGGAGTTACACTGCTGTACATTAAGGGAGTATTTATTCTATTATTTGCTGGTTTGGTCAACCACAGTAATTAAATAAGAGCCACTGTGGTCTCTTGTGGAAATAGGAATCCGATTTTTGAAAATACAGGTATGTTTGATAATTTCTGCATATAAATAATTCATGTGCTTGGCTGAGTGCTCATGCTCTTTTGAGGAAAAAATCGTCTTCTTTTAATGCTTGCTCATAGTCTTAAGGGATGTGAGAGATATGAGAGCAGATTAGAAAGGTGCATGAAAGAGAGATAAATTTATTGTTAGTTACAGTAGTGACCAACAATTCTCCCTAAGACCATGAACTAGACATTTATTTATTTATGTATTTATTTGTTTGCTTGCTGCTTTTGGGTGCATGAGGAACTTATTAAGAAACTACATCTTTGACAAATCTTTGCTCCAGTGCCAAAATTGTGCCTCTTTTGAGAGTCATAAAAATTCTTATAGAAATCCTGGTGTCATGGTTTGAGATAGCCCCAAAATCCAATTCCCTAGCTCCATTCCCCCTCCCACATCTCAACCCAATGTGAGTTGGGTTTTTCCAGACAAAACACAACCAGACTCAGAATGGGGGAAAGGGAATATATTACAATGACTGTACAAATAAATACTATAACACATTATACACACAATCACAACTATCTCTACCATGACATATAGTATTTACAATGGATCAGATCTCCTCTCCCCTCCAAATAAAAGTCCAGGAGGGAAAGAAGGCCAGATCCCTTCCAGTCTCTCAGGGCAGCAGCTTCTTCAGAGTAGCAGAAGCAGTCTGTCTCTCTCTCTCATGCATGCAGCTGTGGCTGGCTTTCTGCCAGAACTCACGAGGGAGGTATCCAAGCTCCCTCGGCCCCTTGATGCAGGCAAAGGGGTCTTCCGTGGGCTTCGTAACCCCAGACAAGGCCGTTTCACCACGTCATATCACGAAGACGCAGGGGGTCTTCGTGATGGTCTGGTATCTCCAGGAGATTCAAGCTCCTTGCAGGGCCTCTGTGCCCTGTCTCAGGCTGCGAGCTTCTTAGTAGCTTGCAGCAAGGGAGGGCCTCAAGGTCCTCCACACACCGTCCTGGCTGAGCTCTCAGGACGACTGAGCTTCTTAGCTCCTTTACTCCATCTAGGACTTCTAATCAGTAAGAGTCCACCCCCTCCATTTTTGGAGGGATCTCGAAGTTTAGGGGAGTTTTGCAGTTCTTACCCCCAAGCTTCTCTCTGTAGAAACTTAGTTCTGTTCTCTGCTGCTGTTCTTTCTCTCTCAGGTTTGCAGAAGTTCTGCCTGCTTTGCTGCATGGTTGTTTTGCTGCTCTCTTATCTTTTGGCTCTGCGCCGCCGCTTTTTCCTCTGGTCAGTGCTGGCTGCTGTGGCTTTCAGTATCTCTGGTTGCTGCTCACAGTGGAAAAGCATCTCCCAGCTTACAGCTACAGACACATAGTCCAGCTTAACACTGTTCCAAGTCTCTGTAGCCCCCAGCTGGGGCTGGGGGCCCCAGAGGCCCCGAGGGGCTCCGGGCCCCTTTCCTCGTGGCTCCTACAACATGGCTACTTCTTCTAACTCCTAAACTACAACTCATCTCTTCCGGTCTGGTTGTGGTATGTTTACATTTCTGCAGGAGCGCCCATTGGACAGGACTTCAAAACTTCCAGGGGTTTCCACCCCTGGGGGTTACCACTTTTCTTAGCCTCTGGGGGGAAAACAAGGTTCAAACCACTACACCTGGGAAAGAGCTTTTCATGCACCCGCAGCTTATTATCTGCAGCATTTGCCAGCACAAAGATAACTGACCATGCTGCAAAAAGCAAGACTTATCAAAATTAAAAAGTGGATTTAAAATAAATGGTTTCTTCAAAACTATTGTTATTTTTCATTATTCACATTGGATTTTGCATTCTCAATCTACTGTTCTGCAGAGGAGAGGAACTTGCAGCTTTCTGAAAGTAGGCCTCTAGCCAGTTACTTTGATAATCAGTTTTCTCTGATTACCTGCATTTTTATATAGGTCTTAGTTTACCATTTTATGTAAAATATATACTGCTTTATGTGCAATTGCTTTTAAAAACTTTTTCAAAATCTCCATGATGTTAGTTAAGCCCTTCACAGGTTAACTTGAATCTTCTAGTTAGTCAGAACTCTCTCTAGAATTCCTTGAACAAATATTCTTCTGGTATAAGACAAGAATTAAAAGTTTGTATCCTGACTTTCTGACAAAATGCAGTAATATCCATCCTTGCTTTGGGAGTTTTCAGTACAGTAGGTACAGTAAACACAGCACAAGATGATCATCTTGTAGGATATTTTTGCATCTTGTTCCTGACCTTTACATGTCTAGCAACCAGTTTAACTGGGGGGGGGGGAGAGTTGAATTTGTGATTACAGAGACAATGTAATTATAGGCTTTATTATGATCAGTTTTACATAGAAATGTGAGTGACTAGGGACTTCTACTGACTTGTAAACAAAATCATTGTAGTTGAGTATTTTGCAGAATTGCTTGAAACCTAATTTTTAACTTTACTCCCTTTTTTTAAGGAACTTCATGTTGGTGTTGTTTATGCCAGAACACAGTAAGCAAGGCAAATTGACTCCAGCCTGGTGTAAACTTTTAACTGGCCATGATGCTATTGAATATGAATTCCAGGTGGCTTTGGAAATGAAAGAGAACTGAGCTCTCTGGCTGGAAGCTGAACGTGATGACGGCCTGGTCTATGGTAGGGAAGCTGAAAATGGAGAAGAGGCACTCCAGAGAAGACAGAAATGTGGAACAAGATGCAGGGGAATGCAGTGCTGAATCTGAGGAATGGACGAGCTCAGAAAGTGAGCCTGAACAACCATACTTCAGAAGCAGCTGTAGCACTACTCAGTGGAGAGAAAAGGAGGTTTCCACCAAACCACATAGGCCACTCTGCCGGTCCCCTTGTTTGGATCGCCCAAGCTTTTCACAGAGCAGTATCACGCAAGACTTGAAGGTAGATGAATGCAAAACAAATTTGGACAAGGAATACCAAGCTAAAATGGATTTTGCTTTAAAGCTTGGGTATGCAGGAGATCAGATCCAGGCTGTACTGAATAAATTGGGAGCAGATGCACTCATCAATGATGTTCTAGCAGAGCTTGTGAGACTTGGCAACAAAAGCGAGTCAGAGGGACAAAGCACTGCCAGCAGTACCACCAGTACTCTGGTGCCAAGAGGCCCTTGCCCAAAGGAAATTGCAAGCCCTGAATTGTCACTGGAAGATGAAGTTGTGGATAACAGCGATAACTTGAGGCCAATTGTCATTGATGGAAGCAATGTCGCCATGAGGTGGGTCTGCCTGTCACAATTTTTGAAATAAATAAATCACTAAAATGTTTATAAGAAAAATCGATGTTGATGGCAAAGTAATTTTAAGTCATGTATACTGTTACACTGAAAATACATCTATTTTATGGGCTCCTTAGTCTAGGATTTTAATTATACTAATTATGTAATTATGTAATCCGTATTCCAGTTACCCTCCCCTCCTTTTAAACCCAAGTTCTCTCCTCAAGTCTTTTGTTCCAGAAATCTACCTGTAGTGTGCTTTTGTGTGGATGGTTTAATTTTTTGAAGTTCTTTGAACAATGTTGAAAATTGCTTCTGGACATTAAAAAAGGTAACTAAACAGGGGAGGAAAACTTGGTTCTTTTTAAAATTACATGCTCTGTATGCTGATGATATTCAGTGAACTTCATGGTATGTGGGCTCCAGCTGATCAAGCCTGCTCAGGATTCCAAGTAATTTAACTGTGTCGGTACAGGGATAATGCATGAGCTAAACCTGCACTAGCACAGCTGTGGTGCTTGCCCCACCTTGAGTCCTGTGTGCAGTTTTGGGCAGCACAATATAAAAAAGACATGAAGCTATTAGAGAGTGTCCAGAGGAGGCCACGAGGATGGTGAAGGGTTTGGAGGAGAAGCCGTGTGAGGAGCAGCTGAGGGCACTTGGTCTGTTCAGCCTGGAAAAGAGGAAACTGAGGTCAGACCTCATTGGGGTCTCCGGCATCCTCCTGAGGGGCAGCAGAGAGGCAGATACCGATCTCTTTGCTCTCGTGACCAGTGACAGGACTCAAGGAAACAGCTGGAGCTGAGTCAGGGGAGGTTTAGGCTGGTTATCAGGAAAAAGTTCCTCACCCAGAGGGTGGTTGGGCACTGACCAGGCTCCCCAGGGCAGTGGTCACGGCCCCAAGCCTGACAGAGCTCAAGGAGCATTTGGACAATGCTCTCAGGCACGTGGTGGGATTGTTGGAGTGTCCTGTGCAAGGCCAGGAGTTGGACTGGATGGTCCTTTTGGGTCCCTTCCGAATCAGGATATTTTATGATTCTATGTACACTTGGCTGTGAGGTCAACACTCAACCAAGAGATACCTGTCCCATGCCAGTTTTGAACATGTCTGCAGAGTACAGAGTTCAGCTATCCAATGACTTGTTTATTATTGAGAAAGTAGAATTTTTTATGAGGGAGTTATTTAAAGACTGTTTAGTGATCAGTGATACGAAGATTTCTTCAGGTACCGTTCATACAATAGATTTCTTTGGTATCAACCTTCTGCTCTAGAAGAATTTGTAATATGAATTATTATTTTTTCGATGTATCACAAAAATTCAAGTTTTTAAAGGTATATTGAGTACTCTGACTTTTGAAATACATAAACTCTTCAAATCCTATAAATGTATTTTATATACAGGATTTTCCAGTGCCAAGGGGTGGTCATATCAATCCAAAAGATGCTTCTATAAAGCAACATCATCAAAACTGGATTTAACATTGCTTTTTTATTTTTTTTTCTGTGCCTGTTGAATTTGCAGTCTCTGTATTGCTTGAGTTACTCCTGAGCATAATGTGGCAGCAACTGGAGAAAAGTGTGTGTACTCTTACTACTGCATAGCTCAAATCTGATGCTGTATTTATAGAATTATAGAGTATCTCAAGTTGTAAGGGACCCATAAGCATCATCAAGTCCAACTCATAACAAAATGCATATGCATTTAAAAGGGTGTTAAATTCTGTAAAATCTAAATGTGTAAAAATTTGAAGAAAAATACTTTTAGCCACTTTGCACCTTCTGTATTCAGTATTTAAGTTGTGAGGATTTAGGCTATGCTGGTGATTCATAGTTATACAGAGGATATTCTGTCTGACTTTGGTCTGCCTCAGGGTTACTTTATGTAAGGTCCTGAGCCCAGGAAAAGCAAAGGAGCATAGCAAGAGAGACAGAGAATGACATCTCTGTCATTCTACAATAGTAACAATAACAGCAGCAACTTTTAAGTGAAATTTTGAACGACAATCCATAGAATAATGCTAAAGACAATTTTAATATGACGGAAACCTCTTAATTATGCATAATCTGCTCTGCAGACTGAGAATATCTGAGAAGTGCAAGGTTTATACACTTCTCATGCTTAAAAATAGTGTAATTATTGATGATACAAATAGAGATTGAGTAAGATGGTTAATTAAGATTCTCCTTGGTTTCTATCAGACCTCTTAAGAATTTCTTTTTTCTCTTTCAGAAACTTCTTAGACCTCTTTTTAAAAATTAAACTCCTTTATCTGAATTGTGTGCTGTTTTAGAAACTCTTGTGTGTTTCAGAAAGCAAATTTTTCATGAGGATGGGACTTCAACAACTTTGTCATGATTATTTCTCTCCTATAAAAAGTCCTAATAAAAAACATAGAACGTTTCTTATCAGAGAAACAGATTTTATTAATATCGATGTTTAAAAGCACTTACCACCCATGACAGCTAGTACTGTTAATTCCTTTTCTGTGGTAATGTTTTATGGTGTTACTTAAGGTAAGCCCATTCTATCAGGGAAAGTGATATTTTTCATTAGCTTAGCTAATAAAATGAAAAACCAGAAAAACTTCATGCATATTTGTTTTTGCTTTGAGGATTGTGAAATTTTACCATTTCTATAGTTTTTAAGTAGCAGGGTTGCTGTAATCTGATGGCTGATTAGCTCTGTACAATTGTCTTCTTCCAGTTATGTAAGCAGGTCTAATAAAACTTTACAGACTTTGTTTTCCTTATATCCTTTGACCATGGCAGCTTTAGAAGAAAGAAAACAATCAAAACCACCACAACAAAAACCAAAACCAAATGTAACGTTTGTCCTTGCTGTTTCTAAAATTTGCATGTTCTTCAGCCATGGGAATAAAGAAGGATTTTCCTGCCGGGGAATTCAACTAGCTGTTGATTGGTTTCTGGAAAAAGGACATAAAGATATTACTGTGTTTGTACCTGCATGGAGAAAAGAACAGTCTCGACCTGATGCACCAATTACAGGTAACGTGGATTTTCTTTGACTCCTTGGTTAAAAATAAAAAATAATGTCATCTTTCTAATGGGTCCCATGTACAGGACTGTGGATGTGACATTGCATGATGTTGCACTCAACTGTTTGTTTGAAAACACTACAGTTTCATAGATGAAGAAACAAGCATTTCTGTGTAAACAATACTGTGGGGTTTGGAACATTACTGGATCGTATGAACACTTTTGAGAAGCAATAGTCAAAATTTTCCCATTAGCAAACATTTTTAAGCATATAAGAACTGAGTCTTATTTACTGGGTGAGTCTGAAATAAGTAGTAACGGGCCAGGGACTCAGTAGGGTTATCTTGAACACTGAAGAGGCAACATGTGTTTTGACCCATACAAAGTACTTACATTTTGCTCTAGGCTAACAAGAAGGCTGTTGTAATACAGTGTCAAGTGAGTTCTTGACATGTTCCGAAGACTTAATAAAGGTACGTAGCTGTAGAGTGGTTATGAAGTTTAAATATTGAGTATTTACTCAGTGCTTTGAAACCTCAGAAATAAAATGGCATTCTGCTTCTAGGTATTTTTTAATGATAATGGGGACTGTATATAATTGCAAAATACTTCGTCAGAAAAGAGGGCAAGAATTTTCATATTTCAAAGGCTGCATTTCTTTATTTTAAAACCTTTTTAATAGCCGCTCAACTAAAATTATTTTACAGATCAAGAAATCTTACGTAAATTGGAGAAAGAAAAAATTCTTGTTTTCACTCCATCTCGAAGAGTTCAGGGAAGAAGAGTAGTTTGCTATGATGATCGATTCATAGTGAAACTTGCTTTCGACTCAGATGGCATCATTGTATCAAATGATAACTATCGGGATCTTCAAAATGAAAAACCAGAATGGAAGAAGTTCATAGAAGAGCGGCTGCTAATGTATTCTTTTGTGAATGACAAGTATGGGTTTTTCTTCAAAAGTAAGGGAATTTGCTAATTCTGCATCCTCGGGAAAAACTGATGAAGTTTCCTTTCTTTTTCTTTAGATTTATGCCTCCTGATGATCCTTTAGGACGCCATGGTCCAAGCCTTGAAAATTTCTTAAGAAAAAGGCCAGTTATTCCTGAACATAAGAAACAACCGTGTCCTTACGGTAAGTGCCCAAGTCAGATTGATTTAATGCATTTAAAGGTAGATGAAGCAAGCAATTAACATCTTGTCATTAGTGGAACAAAGAAATGCACCATTTTTCAGGTTGCCATCCAAGCACTATGTCCATTTTTCTACCCTTCATAAACATTTATAAAAACAATGTAGCAGAGAATTAAGATGTGTGGATAACACACCTTTTGCTATTTTATTCGGGTTTGTAGTCAAGGAAAGAGATTAATAATTATACAAACTGTGTTAAAACTGGTTTGTTTTATGTAGCACTGAGTATGTTGTCAGTATTGAAATCATGAGGCAGTAGGAAGAAACATGGTATGTCTTGCCTTTGATGCAGTGATATACATTGATACAGGCAGCAGAGTCTCTGATTGCCTGTATAGACCAAATACGTAATTATTCCTTAGGGGGTTAATATAGAAATATTACTATTGAGAAGTGGTGAAAGATATAAAGAAAAAAGATAGCAACTGGTGGTATTGATGAGTTTTTGATTTATTTAACCTGAAAACACTTTTCTTCCAGGTAAAAAGTGCACCTATGGGCACAAATGTAAATATTATCACCCAGAACGTGCAAACCAGCCTCAAAGGTCAGTAGCGGATGAGCTTCGAATAAGTGCCAAATTATCTGCTGTGAAAACTATGAGTGAGGGAGCCTTGGCCAAATGTGGCACAGGGCCATCCAGCTCCAAAGGAGAAATCAGTTCTGAAGTGAAACGCATTGCCCCAAAACGTCAGTCAGATCCAAGCATTAGGTCAGTAGCTGTGGAGCCTGAGGAAAAGTTATCAGTAGCCCGGAAGTCCGAGGCCAGCTCTGTCCCGTCTCTGGTTTCTGCACTAAGTGTACCAACGCTCCCTCCACCAAAAAGCCATGCAGCTGGTGCATTAAACACTCGTTCTGCAAGCAGTCCAGTGCCAGGTTCCTCACAGTTCATGCATCAGAAATCCTCACTGGAACATATGTCCAGTGTGCAATATCCTCCTATACTAGTCACCAATAGCCATGGCACCTCAGTTAGCTATACTGACCAGTATCCCAAATATGAGTCATTGGGGGACCATGGCTATTATTCCTTACTCAGTGATTTCTCCAACTTGAGCATAAGTAGTATCCGAAACTCAGATTATTACGGGGCTGATACGGACCAGGGGATGTATTCTAGAAACTCAAGCCCCTGTCCTGACAATTGCTTAAGCCATACAAGTAATGATTCTTATTCCTCTTACAATGACTTGTATCTGGGTGTAGCAGATGCCAGTCCAGAAGACAATGTGAAGAGCCACAGACTGCCATCGCAAAATCGTCTTCAGCCTTTTCCCCATGGTTACCATGAAGCCTTAAATAGAGTTCAGAGTTATGGAACTGAAGAGCCTAAGCAAACCCTTCGCAAACAGTCAGTTTCCCACTTAGGCCTACATGCCCAGCATCCAGTTGTTGGAGCACGGTCCAGTTGTCCAGGAGAATACCCTGTGCCTCAAAATGTTCATCCGTCTACTGCACAACCAAGCCGTGCCTTGGTCATGACAAGAATGGACAGTATTTCCGACTCGCGGCTTTATGAAAGTAACCCCACACGGCAGAGACGGCCACCCCTGTGCCGAGAGCAGCACGCCAGCTGGGATCCACTGCCGTGTGCATCAGACTCCTACACTTACCACTCCTATCCACTGAGTAACAGTCTCATGCAGCCCTGTTATGAACCTGTCATGGTAAGAAGCATGCCTGAGAAGATGGAGCAACTCTGGAGGAATCCCTGGATTGGGATATGTGGTGAGCCACGGGAACCTCATATCATCCCAGAACATCAGTATCAAACATACAAGAACCTCTGCAATATTTTCCCTCCAAGCATTGTCCTTTCTGTGATGGAAAAAAATCCCCACATGACAGATGCACAACAGCTGGCAGCTGTGATTGTTGCTAAATTAAGAACAGGGCGTTAAAGCACTACAGCCTCTTTTGGATAAATGAAACTGTACAGCACATAGGACCCAGAGGAAAACTTACATGAAAGGGCCAATCTATTGTAAATATTTTCTACTAAGGTGGTATAAAATCCTGTACACAGTAGCAATCATTGTATGCTGAGGCACTATATAAAAGTTGATTGTATTGCAAATTTTAAGATTTTAAATATAGGGATTTTTAATAGTATTTTATAGGAAATGCATACCTTGCTGCATGGATAGCTCATTAAGAACTATGTCACATTCAGTGTCTCAAAGCTGTTACTACAAAATTAATGTTAGCAATTATACTGCATGTATTAGTGTACACTTTCAATTTGCTTATAAATACCTAATCGGCCTCTAAAAGTATGCTCTATACACACCCAGATGACTTTTACGGTTTCAGCTTTGTCACTGGACACTTCCTACTGGCATCTTAAATACTGAAGAAAAAGTAAATTTGATAAAAATTAAAATAATTTGTAAAAGGAAAAACTGATTTCAGTTTTTGAATGTCAATATGGTTGTTGGTACTTACATTGCAGACCTGTTTCTCAAGAGTTTGAATATCTAGTACATTGTCCAATATGTTGATGCAATCCAAAAGAACCCAAATAAATACTTTTTTAAATTAGGACCAAAACATACAGTGTAAAGGCATGAGTGCCATTCAATAAACTAAAAGTTTAACTGTAGCTTCTCTCTTCAGAATTGCCTCTCAAACGTGGAGTGAGCAGCTGCTGGCTCAAGTGACCAGACAAGCTGAAAGTAAAGTGCCAGTTTTATGTAAACTGGATTACTCGACCTGAAGCAGTGAAAATGAGATGTTAACATGGACGTTCATCAGTACCTACAGCCCTTTCTCTGGGAGCAAGGAAGGTGTTTGAGTGAGCCTGGCATTCAAGAGGGCTGTACAAGATCAACTTGAGAAAGGGTGGAGGGGGAAGGCTGCTTCTTGAAAAGAGATGCTCCAGTTTGGATTTGTGGCAAAGCTGTCCTGGTTCTTGCTCTTCAGATCCACGCAAAGGTGTGCATTTGCCTCGCGAAGGCTTTTAGAGTTCCTGTTTCAACAGGTGAGATAATTTTGTGTGGCAATTGTTTGCGCAACTGGTATCTTGCTCAGGGTGGAAACCTTTGTAGCTAAATGTCTCCAAAAGAGGCGTTTATTGGTTTTTTTAAGCTGCACTGACTGGACGCCCTTTTTTGAATCCACTGTATATTTCAACATTTTGAACCATGGCTAACTCGACATGTCTCGAGCTAGGACTTGTTGACTTCTACTGTAGTTTTTTTCATGAAAGTTGAGAAGGCCTGGTTTATGGCCTTTTGTTTCTTCATGAGAAGGTGTGACACTGCCTAAATGTTTCTTACTGTGAAACACACAGAACGTGAGGCTGCAGTCAGGGTTGTTTCTGGTGTTTTGATAATGGCTTGCATGCTGCTTTCTAGTTATCTGTTTGTCTGAGAAACAAAGTTACATCATTTCCTCCACTTGTGTTACTGTAGTGGTTGGTTTGATTCAAAATATCTCGTGGGCTCTTTATCATGTGCAAAATATGTTCCTGTCATATAAAAAAACCCCACAAATGAACCAACAACAAACCACAATTATGGGTGCAACTACAGTTAATTTACTGACATTTGATAACTGTATCATTGCACACAGGATAAATATTCTTGTGTTGGTACAGATGATGTATAAAATGACCATGTCATTATGTATTTGAAATGAGGTGACTTGAAGGTGACTCTGTATTTACCCTCGGTGTTTAAAAATAACTGGAGTTTTAATTAGTTGGTTATTCTGTTAATGGGGAAAAAAGAAATCTTCAGACACTTATGATAGTTGGGGAAAACAGATTTAACTCTTGACCAGTTTTCAAAAACATTTCATATTTTTTATTTGCAAATAATTCTTATTCTCTTCTCTTGCATGGTATAAGCAGCTGAGAGCAATGCCTCAAATAGCCAGAAATGACCTTTTGTTTGTTGATACAAATTGTATCTCTTTTTCTTGATTGTATAAAAACTGTGTATAAAAAATAATCTCTAGATTAACTTCAGTATTACATTTTCACCACAATGTTTGTGACACCATGTGTCACAGGGAAGTAGCCCATGAGTAATTATGGAATTTTTTTTATTTAAAATGGGCACTTGTAGTTTATAGACAAACAAGGACAACTTTTCACAACCAGGTTTTATGTGCACAGATACTGCGTGTACATCTCAAAGCATTACATAGGTATCTTCAGTCTATTTATTAAGCAGATACATTCTTGCACTAAACTTTATGTAAAAATGTTGCTGTTAGCTCATCTGCATGTGTTTAAAATGTATCAGTAATTGCTATAGACCTTACTTTATTCTAACATTAATTTATAAATTATTTAGGTATGATATGAAGTTTATTGTGTGCTCATGTTTTCCATCTTGCATGGAATTAGATATTTGTATGCAGAAAAATGTTTGTTCCGTTTTTCTCCACTTATAAAGATAAGCTATTTTAAGAGAGGTTTAGTAGGTGTTTTTGATGTTTTCTAATGTGGAAAACCAAGCAGAGATTTCTGTATGAAGTGTTGGGTGGCTTATGGAGATACCCACTTTTGTAGGATTTGTCCGGTCATTTAAATTTTCACTAACCTTTGTTTTAATGATAGAATAATTCCTTTTTTAAAATGAGAATGCTATGCTAATACAAACCCAGCAAACTATTTCTCTAAGGCACTTCAAAGGCAAATTGTCTTTTTCTAGGAAGCTATTTAGCATCCACCATGCATAGTTACAGAATGGGCAATGGAGCCTTGTGGAAATAACCTGCAAATTTTGTGCTTATTTAGTCCTCCTTAGAGGTAATGAAACTTTTCTATGTGATGTAGTCCTTCCTGATCAATTACTTTAAGTGATAATTCAGTCATCCACGTCTGTTTTCAGATATGTTTACAAGACAATTCAAAACACTGACACGTTCACTAATCTTTAGCGCATAAGCTTAGATTTCTTCTTACATGGAAGAGTTGATCTTATTAACACCTGATCATAACTGTCTATATTGTAAATATGACTTCATATAAATGCTCTTTTTGAGAGCATGGTATTTAAATGTTCTTAAAACTGTAAGAGAACAGTTCTAGAAACTATATTTTAATAAAATCCATGAAAATACAATTCTAGATGAGGGGGAAAAAAGTGTGAAGGTAAAATCATGGACTATTGCAGTCAACAAGAGTTAAGCAGTAGATTTTAGTGCTTTACTGGGGCCAGAGCATTCTCTGGGAGTTCTGATTTTCTTATCTTCCATCTTTAGCTATATTACTTTCACATAATTTGTCACTTAAAAGTGTGTAACTTTAAATTCATAAATCAAAAAACAAATGCTTTATGGGATGTCAGTCTAAGTTATTTAATGTTTTTTGTAAGAAATACATGTCTGTAGTATAGTAAATTGTAGATGATTTCACTGCTGTTAGTCTGTTGTTGTCATATTGAGCCGCAGTAGTTGGCTTTATTCATTTGTAGAATTAAACATTACTGTTTAATTGTTGTAAAATTTTATAAATCTCTTTGGGTTTTTTTGGTTGACCCAAATATAATGTAAGTCTTAATGACAAAATGAGTGAAAATGGATGTTAAACCAGTATGTGGTATTCTTAAATCTCTGTAGTAATAAGTGTACACTGCACTAGTTGCTGCTGCATGTAATTTATTTACTAGCATGAGTCTGTTTAGCTTTTGTAAAAAATGCTTTAACTTTAAACTTAAAAACAGGTGTGGAGTATGGTTGCTGAGAACAAGTAGAAGGAGCCTCATTGAAAAAAAACCAAATAAACCCAAAACATCTATGTGAGTTTCCCCCCTACCTACTTTTAATGCCAGTTTGTCTCAAATTATGCATTTTGGCATTTTGAAATTCTTAATGATAAAGTCAGAACATACAAAGAATTTGTCCAAATTATAAAGTTATAAAATACTTGGTGTTATGTGAGCATACCTGTGATGTACAGCAAACCACAAACAGGAACACCTGATTATTGTAATTTTTAAAACTCCATGCTAAGGAGAAGGAACATGCATCATTTCTGCAAAGCTTTGCTCCAGAGTTGAAATGTTCCTTGATCTTGATTTGCCAAAAGTTTACCTGAAGCATTAGTATTCCAGGATTCCTAATGGTCAGATCTTTAGATCTGTCACGGTTACTTCTGTGGCGAGTGTTCAGCTTTAATACTCCTCTTATGTACCCACAGCCTGTTGGTGTGACAGAGCCCTCATTGACTGTATTTCCTGCAATATTTCAAGTGGAAAAAGACAAGTGTACCATCACTTAAATTATTCTCACGCCAGTGTCTGGTTAGCCTTTGAAGAGCCATTTTACAATATTGATGATTTTGGTCTGTGGTATTTAAAGTTTGTAAATGTATTAAAAGAACTGCAAGAATCTAAAAGAAGTAGAGGCTATCACCTGTTCCCCCCTGCTCTGTGTAAATGTTTTGCACAATTACTTAATAATATGAGACGTTATAGTTTATATATCTATAAATATATAAAAATTTCCTTATTTAATAAAACTGAGAGCCATTGGATTATTTGTTTCTAGTTTGTTTTTTTTTCAACCCTCATTAGACAAGAGCTCAAAAAAAGCTGTTTTATCCAAAAAAGCTGTTGTAGTCTGTCCAAATTATGTCTTGGTATTTTTTAGCTGATTTACTGAAAAATCCCAAATTATCTAGCTGGGGTAGTGGCCGACACACACCAAGTGAACCTCTACCAAAGGGGGAAAAAGTTAACATACGGTACAGTATTTGCCAGCACCACACATTCCTTTTTGAATTGTATGCTTGTTTGCAATACAGAATACAATATTTTAAGTAATTTCATACTCTTTGAAATGCAGTAATAAAAGAACAAATCCCCTTCACTCAGAATTTCCTAAATAAGTTTGAGTAACTGTTGGCTAAAAGGAGAAAGGGGAAAGGCTTACATGAAAAATCCCTCAGAAGTTTGTTTCCTTCTGCATTGGCACTGTTTGCTTTTAAAGAAGGAAATGTGCAGTGTATCTTCCATTGTAAATAACTTTTGGCTGTCTGGTAACAAGGAACTCCAGTAGAACAGGATAAAAAAAAATAAGAAAAGAAAGAATAAAGAAATAATACATTATGGATATCTAGCTAAGCCTTTACTTGAGAGCAGCCCAAAGCGCATCCATGAATTTGCTGTTCTAAACATGCATTTCAGTCCTATGCAAAGTACTGCTAAAGCTGTGTGTCCTTTCTCTCTTTCTACTAACATGGTCCTCTTTCTGATTAGTTTGTAAACCATCAAATTATTAGACTGACTCCAAGAAAGCCTCTGTATTACCCTCTAGCAGATGCACTCTAACAAAACCTTATTGAGGAGTCCTGCAATAAATACATACTTAAACTCCTGGGGTTTTTTACGTGTAATTGCACAAGCCTCCAAGTTTTGAGAACCTGTAATACAGGTAAAGAAAACTGAATTTACGAAAAACTATCTGGAAGCCATTTTTCTCAGTAACTTTTCAACAGGGCACTCAGGTCCATTTCTGCAGTAATCATACCAGCTCTCAGCAGAGACCACAGTATTGGTTATGAACCTTAGCAAAATTGTGAACAAAACTAACATCAAGCAAAAAACTTCATTGAAAAAGAGACAGTAATGGCCTCAAGATCATCACTTGAGAAAAACGGTGACAAAAACATTTGGAAGGTATTTGTGCACTGCAGTGCATTCAGCCGTGCTACAGCTGGGACTGATCCCTGAAGCTCTGTGTGAAATCCCAGCTAGGTGAAAACGGTAGCATAATCTTATCTTGGCAGAATCACTCCTACAGGACAATATCAGCTCAACAGTCTGGCTAATGAGGACCAGAGGACACTTTCTAGAATACCTGAGTGAGAATGGAGAAACAGGAACCATGAGGAAGGTTTGTCTTCAAAGTCAGTTGCATTTATTAACTATGAAAAAATTAAGGAACCTTGAGGGATTCCAAACTACTCTTAACTGTATTTGGCAAACATCAGCTAGAGTTAAAGGTTCATGACAGTGGTTAAGCAAGACAATGGTTACTATACATGGAACTTAAACCACCTTTATAAAACACTGATTTTATATGGTAAAAATCAGTAAATCACAACAACAACAAATTATTTCCCCACCACCATCACTAGTTCTTCTATCCCGCTTAACTTGTGCAATACTGAAAGTCACAGAGCACTCCAATGCTGTCTCAGAAAAGTTGAAGGCCACTTTTTATTTTATGGAAGTCATTCTGGGTCCATAACAATCCTCCTGTCCCATGAATTTTCAATTCTGCAGAGCTGTGAGGAAGAGAAATAAAGCACATAAGCACTGAGCTGCTTTAGAAGTTCACATCACCGAAGTTAATTTTGATAGCACGTTATTTCCACAACATCATTTTTCTTTTTTAGCTTTTAGCTGCTGGAATGTCCTTAGTTTTTCATCAGTCTGTTCAAGAGAGGCAGCAGTCCCGAAACACCAAAGGTACCAAGGCACAAACCAAAAGTAAGATTACCAGTTACTGACAGTTCTGAGGGACACATGACTGCAGAAATAACCAGAGAACAATTTTCATTTGAACCTTCATCTGTCCTTTGCAGCTCATCAGGTGAAATGCTAACACAGCAAACAATTAACATAAGAACAGTCATCACAAGTTACAAATGTTACAGTGCCTATCCTGCACACAAATACTACCCATTCCTATGGCTTTAGAATGAAGTTGTGGGAACCACTGCATTTACAGAGATTTTCAAGTATGCAATCCCTAAAGCAATGGCATGTCAGCACCTGCACCCTCAGAAAACGCTCCTAGTGGTCATTACTTGCCAAATTTGCTACTACTGTCAGGTAAACTGAGCACTGGGAGCTAACAAAAAGCACATACACTTATCACAAAAACAAAACATTTGCCTAAGGATGACAGGTTCAAAGCTTCAGAGGTTGCCTCAGCAACACTAAACATGAACTTAGACAACACATGTGCACAGCACACACCAGAAAAACCACCAATAAACACAATGTTTTGGAGCCAGGGAAGAAGGAACTGTAAGCTTTTTCAAAGTATCCAAGCATCTCAGGAAATTGTCTCATGTTAAAACCAAAGAGTTCTGAAGGCAGAAAAAATTCCTGCAAAAATACTGAGATGTTTTATTTACACAGCAACTTCAAGCTATTCACCAAAAAACTCTAAGCCTTTTCCAGATGCTCAGTACTAGAATAACTGGCTATAGGAGAGGCTCCTTTTCAGAGCTCCTCAGAAACTATTTTTCCTTTAAGATCAAACACCTCTCAGTCCCTGTTCAGAAGAAACACTGCCAGAAGCCCTGCAGACAAAGCCAACAACAGAAACACCACAGTTCTCACTGTAATGACCTGATGGTCTTCCTCTTGCTGTTGGACACTATCCTGAATTCAGCCTGCTAATGGGTTAATTTTTTCTGTGTTTTGATGCATATTCCTCACCTTCACAGACTTGCTGTCATTCCTAGACAGGGACTCTGGGGACACTGACATGCCCCTGAATCACAACCCAGGAATGCTCCAGGCTGGGGCAGAGAGGCTGGAAAGCAGCCCTGTGGAAAAGGCCCTAGGCATGCTGGTGACAGTGGCTGACCATGAGCCAGTGTGTGCCCAGGTGGGCAGAAGGCCAATGGCACCTGACCTGTATCAGGAATAGTGTGGCCAGCAGGAGCAGGGCAGTGACTGGCCCCCTGTACTCAGCACTGGTGAGGCCTTACCTCAAATCCTGGGCTCAGTTTTGGCCTGTTTTTTCCAATAGCATATCTATCTGCAAAGACAGCTAAATACAGTTTTGGCTGGATTCTGCTCTTTTTGAACTATTTTGCTTCTCTGAGATTCGAGCTGTTCTGTTTTGGCAACAGCATGCTCGTCTTTGGGAAGATCTGATGGTAAACCAGAGAAAACTCTGCAAAGGGTTCCTCAAGAGGTCAAACTGTGTTAAGTGGCAAGGAAAGAACAAAAAATTACTTATTCAGGAGGGGAAAACATTGTGGATAGCTAGGCTGTTACTTTCAGCATAGGGGAAGCATATTCTCCAATATTTTGAACCTCCAGATACAACAACAAAAGCAGAAAAGAAGTCAAACGGCAGTTGGGATGGGCTGTTAATTGTCTTTCAAGACTGAGTTTATCTTTAAAAATGAAGGGAGATTGTATCTGAAACCTCTTTTTCCTAGTATACAATCAAGTTTTGCTACAGATTAATAGGAATTATTTAGTAAGAAGCACAGACCTCAAACAAGGCAGGCAGAATTCAGGCAGATGTGAAACAACATAGACTAAATGCATCATAAGATCACCAGGTGTCCATTCTCATCTGTGGACCCAGTGAATTAGGGCTGCAACAAGAGATTCTGCTTCTGTCACATGACTTGGTCAAAGCCCTTTTTCCCAAATTAATGTCAAACTCCATGCTCCAGGAAATCCCTTTGCAGTTCATTACCTTGCTTTGCTTTGCTTTGGAGCCAGACAGAAAGACAAAGGCCACGGCTTTTAGAAAGGGCATGTCCCACTGCCTATCCTGCAGGTGCTTCTTCCAAGCACCTTAGCGATATTCCCAAAGAAAAACATCAGCTTTTCACAATCTCTCATACCATACTTCGGTACTCCTTCAGGAGTCTGGCAGAACAGCTCTCTGCAGACAGAGAAGTTAGAGGGTAGTATCAAAGAGGAAGTAAATAGCAAACACCCCTTCTGGAACAGGCCATACAAACACCTTTAATGGGGAAGCAAAAAACTCATGTAGCTACAAGACAGAGGACAAAGTTTCTACATAGAAAAATACATGAGTAGTCCAGAAAATCTGCTCCCTTCTGCCTCGGGCAAGTCACAGAATCAAAGAATCAGCAGGGTTGGAAAAGACCTCCGAGATCATCAAGTCCAACCCTTGATCCAACCCTGCCGTGGTTCTCAGACTGTGGCACTGATGCCACATCCACTCTCACCTTCAACACCTCCAGGGATGGTGGCTCCCTGGAGCCCTTGGGCAGCCCATTCCAATGGCTGATTCCTTCCTATTATCCAACCTAAACCTCCCCTGGCACAACTGAAGACCCAGCCCTCTTGTCCTACTGCTGGTTCCTGGGAGAAGAGCCTGACCCCCCACCTGGCTACACCCTCCTTTCAGGGAGCTGTAGAGAGTGAGGAGGTCTCCCCTGAGCCTCCTCTTCTCCAGTCAGTCCACTTTTCTGATGCCACATGTCCTTTGGCAAATTGAGAAGCTGCTATGCAAGGGAAATAAGAATAATGAACAAGCTGCTGTTATAACACTCCTGATGAAACCTGGATTGTTTCCAGGCACAGCTACAGGAATAAATCAGGTTCTGCTCCTTTCTATTTGTGGTAACAACAGGTTTTCCTCATGTTTCTTTCTGAGCTTTTTTCCTTGGTATCTCGCCAGGCTGTTACCTGAGTGTAACAAACTGTCTGCTCCTTTCCTCACACAAAGAGAAGCAGAGACATGTTGCCTTTGGCCTGATATGTGCTTTTTCATTTTCTACATGGGTATTTCCTAGTACTATGAG